TTTCTCTCTGGGGGCGCTGAAGGCTCAATATTCTCAGCAGCATATCTTAAAATGTGGTCTGGATTCCTCTCATGTCCTTAGTGCCTTGAAGAGTGACTCCAGGAGATTGAAACTGAAAGTGCTGGATTTTAGGGAGAATGCTCATACAAACTTCTGGAACATATGGTCTGGGAACCAGGAGCCAGAGACTGCCCAGTCCACAACTGAGATGGGGAAAGTGGATGATATAAGGAAGAGAGAGAAGCAACCCCTGGCTTCTGTGGATGTGCTCCTAAAGTTGGACCTCAATGAAGCCTTCCAAGACCAATGGCTTATTCTTTTTTTTCAAGGACCCCAGGAGAGCAAAGGCCACCTATACCTGAGATATGGGAGTCTGGACTTGATTGCAGTACCACTCACAAATATAGAGGGTATCCTGAACACAGGACCCGTGGACTGTTCCCAGATAGTGAACGTGCAGTGCTACTGGGCATGGCCCTCTTCGTTCAGGATTACTCCTCACTTGGTTGAATTCCTCTCTAAGTTCCTCAGCCTGCACCAGCTCGAGGAGCTCTACCTGGATTCTGTCTCCTGTCTTCAAGGTCACCTGGAGCAGCTGCTTAGGTGCCTGAAGACCCCCTTGAAGACCCTCTGGATAAGAAATTGTGTGCTTTTGGACTCTGATTTGACATATCTGTCATCATGCCCAATTACCAGTCATCTCACACGCCTAACTTTGAGTGGTGTCAACCTGACAGGCTTAAGTCTTCAATTCCTCCAGGTTCTGCTACATAGAGTCTCAGCCACAATCAGGTACCTGGACTTGGAATCCTGTGAAATAACAGACTCAGAGGTTACTGCCATCTTGCCTGCTCTGAACCGATGCAACTTGCTCACTGTATTCAATTTCTCTGAGAACTCAGTGTCTAGGCTTGCCACAAATATCCCACAGGGATGATCTGTGAAAACGATTTGGTTGGGCAAAAGGAAATTTCCTTCCCTTCTAGAGTATTATAGAAAAAGCTGCAAATATTTTTACTAGGCTGAAAAAAAGTAGTAAAAGTAAACCTACTAAGTCTCCTTAAAAA